TCCTATATGAGGGTCCCACATTGAGTTTGGGTAATCATGACTTAAATGGCCAAATTTTCAGCCTTATAAGGAAGTTTTTTTTAATAATAAAAAGAAAAGCAAATAATGAAGTTCCGCTTTGATGAAGCTGGGAAAGCCACCTAATTTTTGCAACACAAAGCCAAATATTACGAGTTGTGGCTGAGCATATTTTTAGATCTCCTGAGGATGCCACTGCAAATTAGACAGAGGACAAGTGTGGCATTTAGTTCACTTACCTCTGTTGCCAGCGCTTCCTGATGCAAGCACAACAGATAAGGAAAACCGAAGATTAAGACAGAAGATCTCGTGACAGCTGGAACTGGGTACCAGTCTGAGGAAAGTGTGGTGAGCCTTTAAATGGGCTCCTGTGGCCCAATGGGAAGCATTAGAAATGGGTTTGAGAAACATAGCATGGTGTCTTTCAGGTCCTTTGAACAGCCACCTTTTGGGGTCACTAGGTAAGCTGAATTTGATAGCTGTAAAGTTGCTCCACTTTTACCATCAGGACTAGATCCACAATAAAATATCTGCAAAGTCACAGTTGTTGCCACCATCTACTGAGTTACTAGAGCAGTCGGTAGGGCACTTAAGTATAATGGCAGAAGGGAGAGATCCGAGGAATCGACATGCATCTCTCCCCACTAAGTCCATCTGAAGGTTTACTCACACCTGTGTGGTAGCTTGAATGTGCAAATCAAAGTAGAAACATGGGGCTAAAATATTCAGAATCCCATTGGATCGGTTTAGCTAATGAAAAAGATAAGTCACGAAGAAGACAGAATTGCAGCAAGAAATGGATAGGACGTTGGTTCTGACTCCTAAGATTTGCCCTTTCTAGTAGGACAGCCGTATCTTACATGCTGCGTAGGATTCAATTTAAGAAGAAACAGCTGAGTCAGGAGTCAGAAGCCTCTCCCTGCCCTGCACAGCTTGTTAAGTCCAACTGAAGACACATAACATACAAATTCATTGGATATTTTTGCCTGCAGAATTGATGCAATGGCGTGACCTGACTTAGGATAGTGGACAGGGTTGCGGGGAATCAACCAATCATATCAACATGCATTTCTGCCCTTTAGAAAAGGTAAGGCAGGAAGCTTGGGAGTCTGGGTGCGTCAAAGGTTAACCAACTGACGGGAGATGCATTTTTGCCCCTTAGGAAAGAAGGCAGGCTGAGCTCTGAGTGAAACTAAGGTTGGACACATACCTAAAAATTACTCAGAATTTCCTGCAGTTTAACCTCCCCTCTTTCTGTGGCACACGGGCTGAGTTTTCAGCACAGATGTGGAATAATCGGCTGATTTAAGAGTCACCTTCAAGCAATCATGCATTTTTATTTTTATTTTTATTTTTTTACATTTCCCCCTTTTAAGCCACAGATGAATGATATGTATATGTGTGGTCAAACTGGCCAGTAACTTTTGTAAAAATATTTTCACATCTAATTTAGGCAAGCTGCACCCTTTCTGCATCAGTTTCCCAATTATAAAACAAGAAATACACAACATTCCCTAATAGCAGTCATGGCTGAGAAAATGAGTACTGTACAATGGGGGGAAATTCTGAAGCTAATGTTACGATTAATAATGAGAAGTAATTTTCTCTTGGATATCTCCACCTTTGTATGTATTAACATGGCCATAGAGGCTTCTGCCAGTCTCCAACTACAGCAATAAGCAGAGCTAAACCAGATTCAGAAGGGGGATTTTGATGAGATTCCAGAACTGTGCAAACTTACTACATGAAAGCTAGCCCTTGCCTTAGTGCCATCCCTTCCAAATGCTCTAAATTAATAACCAGCAAGGAGTCAAGGGCTCTCTTGTGTAATCATCACTCTGCTGCTGGCCTGCAGACGTTCCGGAGGAGGAAATGCTTGCATTTGTTGTATCAATTTTTATCTGTGTCATCACCTGTTGCCAGGAGAGTACAAGCTCCCCACTGCCCTGCTCCAGGGCAGGGGAGCTGAGGAGCATGCATAAATCAGCACACACTTTTGCACTCATCATTTTCACTTGGCTATAGATGTGCTCACGCAGTTGCTTGCTAGCTGCCTGGGCTTTCCTTTTTGCCAAGCGTGGCCCTGGTCCTTTCAGGATTTTCAGCAAGGAGTAGCTTGGCAGGTTCACTTTCTTGTGCTGCGTTACTGAAAAAGCACGGCTGTGACGTTAACATATGAGAGAGTGCTGGAGGTGAAATAGTTACCCAATCAGAACCCAGGGGGGTGGAGTCAGAGGGACTAGAAAACCAGCTCTGGGAGGGGTGAAGGGAGGAGTTCGTTGGGAGGCTGGTTGGAGTTGGGAGTGCATTGGGATAAAGTTTGTGGGTAGGTTGAGTTAGTGTAGCGAAATAAGTTAGGAGCTAGGAAGACAAGTAAATATCTGAGAGGTGGTTTAGTGAGTGAGAGCAGGTAGCGGAAGTTATAGGTCTGGATAGGCACCCCATGATTGTCATGGACCGATACCGTTTATGAAACCACATGCTTGTTAAACTGCAATAAATAAACAGAAGTTTATGTTCCAATTTAACCCTGACTGGACTCAGTATTGTACCAGGTACGGTCTGGGTGGTGGCAGCGAGAAATGAAGTGGTGGCACAGGGATCAATAGACGGTGAAATGTCTGGGGACCCTGTGTGATCGCCACAACGGCCACTCCTATCCTCTCTCCCTTGTGAGACACCAGGGATCTGCAAATGCCTACAATCTAGCATTGGGGGGGGGGCGGGGTGCACAGGTGATCCTGTCAAATTTATTCCTCGAATGAAGTTCCAAAGCAGGTTTCAAGACATCAGCTGGAACTCATAGGACATTATGCTAGGACTGCCGATCTAAAGGTTCTCCTTTGCATTAGTCCAAAGGCTCTTCACTGCACTTTCCCCTCCACAGCACACTTGTAATGTTCGGGGTAATGGAAGAATATAGGTGATTCTAAGGTTCCCCTTGCCCCTTAACAGTATTAACAGGCCAGGAAAACATCTGTGGCTCAATTACATTGTCTCTTACATGCCTGAAGGGAAGCACCAAGCTTCTGGGAAATGGGATACATTAAGCCAGGTACAGTATAGTACCCAGGCAGTAGTAGCCTCTATGCCTCACTGCCATGGTATTATCCTGATTGCTATCTGGACCGGATTTGAAATTGTTTTTATATGTGCTATTTATTTATTTTAGTTTTTAGATGCTTGATTGTTAATTTCTTTTATATGCAATTGCTTTAATTGCTTTTATGTTTGTTTTATATATGTATCTGCAGTTGTTTGATATAGGTTTTTATTGACTTGTGACATTACTTCCAAGATGCTTCATAAGAAGCAATTCATAAATGTAATCAATAATGCTGATACTAAAATTATAATGCTGTCTTGCATTCTCTCTTTGTCCCTCATCATTTTATTTCAAAAGGTGAAGACAACATTAATCCTGTTGACTTAAAATTTGATGCTAGATCACGTGTGGTTCCCCACATATACTAAAAATAGGAAGACCGAATAGGAAGGCAATGTAGAATCTTCAACCGCTGCTGGGATTCTCTATGCAAAACACGAGAACACAGACAATACTCCCAAGTACAGTACCGGTGGGATTTCCCCCCTAAAAGACTCTCCTGTTTACAGAGATCTCTATCAAGCAGGTGACCAGGGCAAGGGCCTTTTCTGTAGTGGCACCCCAATAAAGGAACACATTTTGTGGGGAAGCTTTCTTCAGGGGAATTGTTAGAGGATGATCTAGGAGGCCCAAGCCCCACAGCTTTTGCACCAGGCCTAGGGTCTACTGCCCCTCGCCAACCTTCCTCAACGTTAGAAAGAAACATTTACTGCTTATAGCAGGCATCCCCAAACTCGGCTCGCCATGTTTTGGGACTACAATTCCCATCATCCCTGACCACTGGTCCTGTTAGCTAGGGATGATGGGAGTTGTAGTCCCAAAACATTTGGAGGGCCAAGTTTGGGATTGCCAGGCTTATAGCAGGGATGTCCAAAGGGTCGATCGGGATCGACTGGTCAATCCCCGGGAGGCTCATTTTCCTTTGCTTTTGCCTAAGAGCACCCAGCCCCTCTCCCCTGCCTGTATTTTCTCCTGATACCTGTAACTTTCACGGTGCTGTTTTGGTGAGCAACTAATCCCCTTCCCCCTTCTAAACAAAAGGAGTTAGTCAAAATTTTCCACTCACCGTTGCAGCCTCATCGGTTGCACTGCAGTAAAAAAAAAACTTCATTGGTGGGAGTAGGGCAGGGAGGGAGTAAGAATCACTGAACTACATGCAACTTATCATCCTGCCATATCTTGCTCTCCTCCAAACTCTCAAAAAATTAGGAAGCAGATCTCTTCTAGAAGTTCCCAAGTCTCATCTTTATCACTATTAGAATTGTCAGTTACTCTAACCAAGACTGACTGCATGCTGGGCTCCTGGATTTATATGTCCATAGAATACATTGGCTTGCAACCAATCAAGGTCAGCAGCTATCATTACCAAGTTCAGATGACTGGTTTAGTTTTAAAGACAAGCACATCAACCTCCATTTCTGGAAGCCAACGTGCTCCACCAAATTGACGGGTAACTTCTCCAGCTGTGGCTTAAACATAACACCTTTCCAAAACACCTTCAAGCCTCTAAGAACTGCTGCTCTGAGCCTGCAAACAGCCAGGTAATTAATACTGGGTTTCCCCTACATTCTGTGTGGTAGAGCCGTATGTTAAATAACCTCCAATTCTTTGTTTTGCTGCTGGCTGCACAGAGATAAGAGAGGTGGGTGAAGATGGAATAGGAAGATAAAGAGGGAGGAAGTGAGAACCCATCCTCTGAAAAATTAATGCAAAAAAGAAAATTTAAAAGAAAAGGATAATTGACAATATGCTGTGAAAGAAGCAAGAATGTTAAAGGAGGCAGAAAAGACTAGGTTTGAAATCTCTGGCCCAAAAAGAAAGGAAGGGGGTGGAACTACATCCCTCATCTATATGTTGTTTAAATACATACATTTAAGTTTGAAATTGCCCACAGTCGGCAGAGCATGAGGCTCTTAATCTCAGGGTTATGGGTTTGAGCCCCACTTTGGGCAAAATATACCTGCATTGCAGGGAGTTGGACTATATGATGCTCGTGGTCCAACTCTACAATCCTGAGATTCTATGACACTGAATTGTACAAGGCTGAGTTTTAAAAATAATAATAATAACTACCTACAGGGAGGAAAATGCCAACAACCTAGCTTAACACAAGCCAGACAGCATCCCTGGAAGGAAAAGGCACACCTCAAATCTCTTCTCCCCTCCCTCAAACACGACTCCTTTACTTATTTTAATTTCACACTGAAACTTCTTCTCTCCTTCGGTGAGGGGTTTTTATACTGCTTGCGCCCATGCGTGCGTTTTCATTCCAGTCTTTAAATGAGGTCTTTGCTGAGAATTTACAATTCCCCTGTGGCTTCAATCTTGCCGAGATTGCTTTTTTTAAGACTGTTAGGCTTTAATTCTAATAAGCCGTCTCTTTATTACAGAACCAGGCCACATTGCCTTGACACAGCAAGAAAAGAAAAGAAAAGAAATGGGGGGGGGATCTTTCATTGGGAAGGAGGAGGAGGAAGAAGAAAGGGAGATGGAAGAATGAAGGAAGTGGAGGAGGCACAAAAGAGGAGGGGGAAAGCACAAGCAAAAATTGTTTGCTTCATTCTGAGGAGCCTGGCAGGGGAGTGAAAGGAAAGCAATTGAAAAGAAGAAAAGGACAACTAATTATTTAACAAACATCACAGTAAAGGTTAGAGACCAAATTTCAATTACCTCTCCTCAAACTCCATCAACATTGCTCCTTAGATCATCAGGGAATAATAATAATAATATTAATGGCAGGACTGGAAAAAAGAAATGGGGAATGGAAAAAGGAAAAAATGTTTAAGACAAAGACAAAAAGGTTTTTTTTTAATCCTGTGCAATCACCTGTCACTATTAGCTCAATATATCCCTCCCAATTAACTACGTGTGTATGCACCAGGCAGGATAGCAGGGTCAGTTGCACAAGTGTAAACACCCCCAGCAAGAGATGTAGATGCGCCAGAAAAATGAAAGTTCAATTTCTATACAGTACAAGCATGTTTACTCAAAAGGAAGTTCCTCTGATTTCACTGGACCTTACTTCCATGTTAACGTGCACAGGACTGCAGCATAAATCAGGATGGTGTTTTTCTAAGAGGATGAGATTGCAAATCCTGTCTTCTAACAACATTTTAATTTAAAGAAAGGTTTCGCTCCCACTGCTTTTAAGAGTCAATTTTATTGCTTCCCACCCTGCCAGTTTTCTGCCTTCGTGGAATTGTCCTGAGCAAGAGATTACAAATGGGTGCACAAAAGTCTTGCAACACCTGGCCCATATCATTCTGTTTTGTTCTCTAGAAGAGCAGACTCATCTTTTTATTTGACTCAGTGCTAATACCCAAGGCAATCTGAGTTAGAACAAGAGAATTTAACATCAATTTAAACTGCTCTTTACCCATATGTTGGCTAGCATATTGCCTAAGCAATGTTGCATAATTATAATGCAATTTTTATTATTTTTAAAAAATAAACTGAATTCAAAAATCACCTGAATTTTATAGGCTACTCGCTACCTTGGCACTTCCTAATCTTAAGTTTTCATTTCTCTTGTTAAGTAGTAACTGACAAATAAGCTGACAATCCCAGACCCATACAATGTGTACAACCCAGTCATATATACCCTGGTTTCTCATGTTACTGGGACCCTTGACAGAACACAAGGAGAGTAGGTTTTTTCTCCCTCCTAGCAGGTCAGTGTCTTTTATACCAGCTGATAAGACATGTAAGTAGCATCTGGAGAAGGACCTGCTTAGTTCATCTCCTTGCATAATTCCAAAATAAATGCCTAGTTTGCACACAATGCTAAGCCATGATTTGTTTAGCTAACTATGGTTTATTTGAACATGTGAACCCAGCACATTGACCATGGTTTGCTTTTGACCAACAAACCATGCTGTAAAGTGTTGTTGGCTTGTTTCAACTGCGGTGTGGTATAATCTCTGAAACCAACAATCTTAGCCATGGTTTGTCTGACCACCAAGTCAGATACTCAGCAAGCTGCAAAGATGTGAGGCAAGAGCATCACAAAAAACAGAACAAGTAATAATAATTAGTATTATTATTTATACCCTGCTCATCTGGCTGGGTTTCTCTGGCCATTCTGGGTGGCTTTCAGCATATATAAAAGCTTAATAAAACATCAAATATTTAAAACTTCCCGATACAGGGCTGCCTTCAGAGGGGCTTGTTTTCCAACAAGCTTGGAGAAACAAGGCATGGTGTGTTTGCTCAGCTCTGAGATAATCAAAGGTCTGCTGAACAAACCATAGTTAAACCACAGCTTAGTATTATGTGCAAATGTAGCCAAAGCTGGCAGATCCCAACTCCTTGCATGCTGTGCTCTCCCAGCCTCACAGGTCCTGTCCACTGGCTTCCAAATAGCAGCTGTAGTCATCCCGCCTATTTACCTTTCTTCTCCCTCTCTCCATAGCCACCAATATAGGTTGATTCTTCCTCATCTACCCTCTTACTACGAGCCCGACTTGGTCTTCTGCCTTTTTCTGGGTACATGTTGTGGGCACAAGTCCACAACACTACTTAAAGGTGGCTTCCACTGACAATAACTGGCGAGGAATTGGGTTTTTAAAAATGGCATCCTGTGCTGGGTTCAGTGAGTGGATAGGACTGCAGCCAAGTGAGTTTCACCAGCAGAAGACACTATTCCGCCACAGTTCATAAACAGACATGAGAAAGTGTGAAAAGACTGTCATCCTTGCAAGGAGTAACCAATGCCCACCAATTTCAAAGAGATCAATGGCTGTTGACATCGGAGTATGTTCTAATGAGCAAGATAGCACACAGGATAAAAAGGAGGAGGAGGAAACCTCCCTGACCATTCCCTCTTAAGTGGATGGCACTGCTCCTCTTAGTATAGCGATGAAGCAGAGCCACACAGAGAAAAGCAAGTAGCTTCAGTAAACCTGGAAGATACTTCAGGTATGCCAAAGGATTTGTTTTTCAAAGGGGAAAAAACAACCAAAATTGAAATATTGTAGCCTGCCCACAAATACACTCAAACCAACATACAAATGTCTTAGCAGCATGATAGGAGGATACAGGTGCAATACCTTGATAGTTAAGAGGCAGGCCTCTAATAGGGGAAGGGAAATACGAGGCAGGAGATGCATGCCATCAGGCATATACTGTAGACCCAAACCTTAATTTTCCCCAAAAGTCTCCCGTACAGCATGGTAAGGTCTACTGAGTGTCCAAATCAGAAGTGTGGTTTAGCTGGTGGGGTGGGAGTTAAAAAACAACAACTAAAACCACACTAACTAACCACATTCTAATCTGCTCTTAAAACCACAAAAGTTGATAAGAGGCCAAACGAGGGCCCAAGATAGCAGTAAGCAATGTTTTCAAAGCCAGAACATGCAATAAAAACTGTTCAACACCTAAGCATTCATTTTTAGGGCTGAAATGCTTTAATCTTGCAGATTAGTTGACTAATAATGATTGTTGAGGGTCAAGTTTAATCAACGGGGCTGTCAATTAAGATTACGTGTTTTATCTTTTGAGACTATTTTGGTTCTGGTGTTACTGAAACAAGGAATGAGATTTAAGATAGCTTCTTTCCTTCTGCAGTAAGAAGTTGTTTTGGTTAGGGATAACATCTATCTGAAGTTTTTTTGCAACTCAATCAATTAATTTACAAGTTAAAAGGTAAATAACGGGTGGCTCCTCTGAATCCTCTCTCCAAGGATGTGGGAGGTGGGGTTATTGGTTTGTTTTGCTTTGTTATTATGTATTTTGTGTTTTCATTTCATATATTTATGTTGTGAACTGCCCTGTGATCTTCGGATGAAAGGCACTTCATCCGCTTTAATATAAATAAATATGTAAACAAATAATCAATGACAATTATTTCATTGGCTGCCAGTCTTTGAACTTTTTCTATCTTTTAATTAAAGCAGCACTGAACAAATTTTGGGTAATGATATCTTTTTGGAAATATCAATCAAAGTATCATTGGGCGTATCTTGGGATGTAAGATGTGGCAACCATGGCCTTTGGAAGGAGGCTGACGAATCTAAGCACCCTGTTTATTTATTTTTCCAAAGCACAAAGATCGACTCCGCTGCCAGGAGGCCAGCGACAGGATCCCTCCTCACTGAATCTTCCTGGTGACCCAAATCTAATCATAGTGGCAGCAACATGCAACAACCGGTGACCCTGGATGGAAATCCACATTCCCCATTAAAGAAGCTTCCAGATATTCAAAGGGGCCCAGAACAGCATTGCAATTAAGATGAGCGTCAAGTTGACATCAGTATGGAGATTGTTCCTTTAAGTGCGCTCTTAAATCCCACTTTTCACAAGGTAAGAAAAAAACAAACCAATGGGGAATGAGATTTCTTTGGAAGTCATAGGTTTATCTGGAAGAGAACATACATGATGAGTACCTAGGCAGAGAGGTATAACCTCGTTCCACACAGCGTGAAGGCTGAACAGGGTGCAGAATTCAGATATAGGAGGGCCCACAGCTAAGTGATACAGCATGTGCTTTGGCAATTCTAATTCATTTGGTTTTTAAGCTCAGGAAAGGAACAGTGCTAGAGACCCAGGCTGGCAGCAGTGCTTCGGAATAGGATGGGTTAACTTGTGGACTTAATGGATGTCATTGGGATTCCAACTCAGCCCCAGCCAACACAGCCAGTGGTCAGAGACGGATGTCCATCAACATCTGGATGGCACCAAATTCCTTGTCCTGGATATATAAATAAGGATAGATACCAGCATGCAGCAAAGTTAAGTGACATGCCACCCACCGCAGAAAGTGGCAGGATTAGCCAACTGCTGCCTGAGTGCAGCACATCAATTTGCTGCCGAATTGACATGTACAAGAAGCAAAGGAGGTCTGCTGGGAGTGGAGTAAGAAACATTTTCTCTCAGGTACAGGCTAATGCTGCGTCCCTTTCCGAGTTCTCTCTTCTGCTGCCTGTAATTATTGTAGCATGTGAGAGAGAGACAT